TTAGGAAATGTGAGTTTGGAATAACAAAGAGAAAGCACATGCTCTGTTTCAGAGCAATGATTCTTGATCTTTCCAGTTGAAATCACTTCCTTGTGCTACTTATACAGAATTTTTGACCAGTATTCAAGCCATTTGGACAAACCCAACTCTAATTTCCAGTCTGTTTTTCTCTGTATTACATGTACTTATTAAAACAAAAAACAAAACAAAAATAAACAAAAAATAATGATTTTTAAAAATTTCTTTTATTTATGTGCATTGATATTTTGCCTACATGTATATCTATATGTACCCTAGAACTGGAGTTAACTGGAGTTACAGACAGTTGTGAGCTTCCAAGTAGATGCTGGGAATTGAGCCTAGGTCCTCTAGAAGACCAGTCAGTGTTCTTACCTGCTTTATTACTATATAATACTGCCTGTTGCAAAGCCCCTCACTCAAGGATTCTTGGGCACTGGCCAAAGACCTTTATGAATGCTCCAAGCTGTATGTATGTTCTACCAATTTTTTAATGGGTAAGAGAAAAGGTCACTCTTTTTATAGTACTGGAGCACAAGTCATTAGTAAATCTCTGTATCACCCTGAGACACAACAAAGGGATTCACTTGTGAAAATGCCTTATACTTTTTTCCTAGAAATGGTCATACCTGTTACCATATGCAGACATGAGCCTGAAATGTGAAGATCCCATTTGTTTGGATGTAAAATCCAAGTTCCCAAGATGATTCTTTCAAGGTTACAGTGATTGCTAGGAGTAGAGCTAGCATTGAAAATCAAGCCCCTCCTGCAGACTTTGCTTAATATGCCTCATCAACACACCATCTGCATGTGATATCTGCATAAGCATCCCCAACTGATGAACTTATTCTTAAAACTTAGACAAACCATCACTGTCAAGATCATGGGATGAAAGGGACAATGTGAGGAAGAGAAGCAGACATAGAACAAGGGAAAACATTTAGTATGTTTCAAGCCTGGGATCAGTACTCACCAGTGTCCCATTGAATTCTCTAAGAACCTCAATACATGGACATCACTATTGCCAGACACGAAGAAGGAAGCACATTCAGAAAAATATTCCTGCTTGCCATGAACAAGTGAGATTACATTTTAAGTCAACCCAGGTGTAAAATAATTCCTTAAGAAAAGGGTCAGAGTTAGGAGGGATATCAGAGACTAAATACTTAATAACTTGCTTGGCCCACAAATCTTCCTGAAGTGTTTGTCATTGCTTCAATACTCTCAATGAAGAATTAGTTTCCTGCTGTGGAATAATCTTTTTGTATACTGTGAAGATCTGTCACTTGGATTGGTTTAATAAAAAGCTGACCAGCCAATAGCTAGGCAGGATTTGGGGGCCAAAGAGGATGCTGGGAAGAAAGGTGGAGATGCAGGGAGTCACCAGCCAGATGGAGAGGAAGCAGTATGGGGAGTACAGATTAAGGTAACCACACCACATAAAAGAACATAGATGAAAAAGTATGGGTTGATTTAAGTTGTAAGAGCTAGTTAGTAACAAGCCCAAGTAATGGCTGAGCTTTCATAATTAATAAGAAGTCTCTCTTTGGTTATTTGGGAGCTGATTGGTGGGACAGAAGTCTGAGTATAGTTTCTTCCCCCAAAACTGACACATTTTAGTTGGGATGACTTTGATGGAAAACAAAACAACACAACAACAACAACAACAAAAAACCCAAAGCACTAAAAACAAAGTCTTTCATATACTAGTTACTCATCACTAAAAGATGATGTCCAATCGTCAAAGGGCTGATCAAAATCATGAGTGTAAAGTTCCCCGAAGTGGAATGATAGAAAACTTTAATAATTAGAATTTTAATATGAGAAAACAAAACTTTCTTAATCATATTAATATCTGTTAAACATAACTACTTAAAAATTGAGGGAAAATTAGAGAGCAGGGATAGTATACTAACATCAGTTGGTTGTAAAGACCTTGGGTCAGTCACTTTATCATTCCACACCTGTGTTTCCTCAACTTGGGAACTAACTCAGATCTCCATAACTGTTTAGCATACCCAGTGTCACAAATACAAAGTACTTACTACATTACTTGGATACAGCCTTGAAGTACACACACACACACACACACACACACAGAGAGAGAGAGAGAGAGAGAGAGAGAGAGAGAGAGAGAGATACTACAAACATGGATGTCTTCATTCCAGTTTTGCATTCAATTTCTTAAAATCTGGATGTGTCCTTTATATAGTAAAAACATGAAAAATTATTATTACCTTAGGAAAGTATTCATTTTTTAAAAATCTAATATAAATATTACACCTGTAGACAGTTAAAAACGAATGTTATGTTTTGTTTTTTATCCTACCGAAGATAGACAATGTTGTGATTTGACCAGCATCCTTGAATAAGGGAATAATTAGAGTATTTATAAAATAAGCAGTCAGTTGGGTTTGGGTCTAAGAGCAGACACAAGGGCTATGTCTGTCATTCTTCTACTCTCTCAGGCTCCAGGATAAAGAAGAATCAATTAGTCCTTCACAGACAATGACCTTGAAGGCTATAGCTCTGTGCTTGGGATGTTGAATATGCTGAGACAGGAAGAAATCAGGAAGGGGAGGGTGCAGTCCTGAAATGGTTGCAGAGCATGGTGCAGAGTTGACCACGTCACTGAAGACCAAAGCCATGGCTGGTGGCATAGCCAGTGTCAAAGCCCAGTTCTTTCTACAGGGAAACTAAACAAGATAACAGCAGCACTCTGAGCATTGCCTTCTCCTTTTATTGAAGAATTGCAGCCTTTTCACAACAGAAAAGCAACTGATGAAAAGTCTGCAAACAAACACGCCTGGACCAACTACACCTTGGCTCACAGATGTGGAGTCTTTCGTTTTTTAGCTGCTTAGTCCAAAGCTACATTTTTCACAAAGACAACCCTGCAGGTCTGTAGGTCTGGAGTTTTAATGAACTGTCTACCTGCCCCCCCACACACACACACCTTTTCAAATGAAAACTGCTTCCCAGACATTACATTCAACACATTTGAGAATTCTGCAGCTGCGCTCAGGCCGGAGCTGGCCTCCGTGAGGCTTTTAGGCAGCAGTAAATCTTCCCTACTTATTGCTAATGCCATAAAATCAATGCCCTGGCTAGGGGAGAGGGGGAGAGAGAGAAAGAGGGAGAGAGAAAGAAAGAGAGAGAGAGAGAAGGGGAAGAGAGAGAGAAGGTGGAGAGAGAGGAATATGTAGCCTATGAAAACATTTAGTAAAATTTCCCTTCAAAACCCATTTCTCAAAAGTTCCCAGGTACCCTTCCTAGATCAGGGATGCATGCTGTCTGCTTCTTTGTCTGTTCATCACATGACAAAATTACTTTGGCTGAAGAGTTTTTCAAAGAGCTACCTTAATTTTTCTGGGCAATTCAACCTATGCCAGCACATTTTAACTGAAGCTTTCAGTTAAAAAGAATAAAGACAAAGAAGTAACCTTGTCTGCATAGCGAATTCTGCCTCTCTCGGCAGGATCTGCACTTGCTTTTTATAGCCTGTCATTTCATCTGGGTATTATTTCCCAGTCACTTTGCCAGGTGGGAAGAGGCAGCAAAGACAGAAATGTCTGTCAGATCTTTAACAATACTTTGGGGATTTGAGAAAGACGCAAAGCAGTGGCTGTGTTCAGGAGGCTCTCCTAATTACACCTGGAAAAGCAAGCATCCTCATGAAACCTTTGCACGGAAGCTGGAACACATCAAAAGATCTTGAATCACAAGCATATGTCAAGTTTTTTTTTCCTTTTTCCTGAGTTTCTCTAACACATGACACAACTTTATTCATCACATGAATGTCTTCGGGAGGTCTTATTATCCTTCCTTAGAGTCTAGAGGGAAAACTGAAGGGGCGTTTCATCACAGAGTCTCTACTTTGAGTGTCTCTTTAACACTCAAATATTTCACACACATTGAGAATCAAATTCTCTCACTGCCTCTTTTCCTTCTACTAAGTAGCTCATCCGTGGTTAAAAACAGAGTGGTAAAAGACAGAAACAGCAAACAATAAAAACATTTCTTCAAATGTAACCAAAAAAGCTCTGTGCTGACACCTGAAACAATCTGACTAGTCATGGCTTCATAGCTGTCAACTTTCTGTCATAAAGCTAAGGCAATGACCTCTGCATATACCAGCATTTCATTCTGTATTGTTTTAATAGCATAGAGTCTCTTCCCTTACAGGTTATTAAACCAGGTTTCAGCAACAGGATGGGTTAAATGACACATGTCTTAATAATAATAAAAGAGGCACCTTTGTTAATGTTCCCTGTAGTTGTTAATGACTGGCAAGGAATCTATTTAAATATTTGATTACAGAAGACAAAACTCATTTAGGAAAATCCCTTTGTGGTGAATTGCAGTCTGTCTTGAACATAAAATTGAGGGCTAAGTGCTCAGTAACCAAAAATCTGACCGGTGCAGTACGGCAAACATCTGAGGACAGGGGAAGGAGCATTGTGTCTTAAGGCTTGCTGCAGGATCAAGACTAAACAATGAGAATTCACAAGTACAGAGAAGTGATGAAGGGGCAGGAGGAGACCTGGGGGTGGGGCCGGGTGGGGGTCAAATTACACTATTGGCACATAGAAGTGCCGTGCCTATTAACATATGAAGGACAGTCAGACATTGACTTCGAAAACTATTGCAAATAAATTGAATTTAGCTTAAATCCAAGGCATGAATGAAGAGGCTTATAGTTTTTGATCAACGACCTCAGAGTTAATCTAAGCTACACATCGCTGTTGGGGAAAAACAAAAAGCAAAACTAGGGGTCTATGTGGTTGTTCCCCCAACCCCACAGGTGCCATCACATGATTCATCAAACAAAACCTCCCAGTCAAAATGCAAGAGCAAAGGAAATAGCTAGCCCTCTGGAAAACATCTTGGGAAGCTCCTGCCCACCCTTTTCATTATCCACCACTGCCTCCACCACCAGCCACCAGCCACCAACACCATCATCTCTTTCTCTCTCTACTTACAAAGTTTAGGAGCAGTTTGGAGATTAGTTTCTGTTGTTTGTGGCTGAGTTGCTGACTTGGGTGTTCTCACCTCAGGGGTCCGAGCTGGAGAAGGGAAGGGTGGTGCAGTAGAGTATGAGGGAGGAAAAACAGACAGACGGTTCTTTCGGGTTGGTCCTGCTGAAGGTTCAGAGGCCACTGCAACATTGTCAACTTGCACTGTAACATGAACCGCAGGTTCAGACAGAGCCCTAGAGACAGGTGAAGCGTTTGCCTCAGATGACACCAAAACAGCTGAGACAGCAGTTGGATCCAGAGAAATAACAGGGTCCTGGCCTAAGCCCCCAGGGTCAAGGTGAGTAGGAGAGTCGTATTCAAATATCTTGTCCACAAATACCCACTTTAGGCCAGCAATGCAGAGGCAGAGGCTGACCAGGCAAGCCAGGATGGGAACAATGCAGATCTTCTCAGAGTTGAGGCACCCTCTCAAGCGCTCAGCTTCCAGGCAGACACAGCAGGGCACCGCCAGGCCCAGGAGTCCAGAGCTTCTCCCATCTTCAGTGTGGGTGTCTGGCATGTGCTCCGAGGCCGGAAGCCCATCCAGAGATGGGTCTGCACTCAGCTGAGTGGAGGGGCTGGAGGACCTCCCGCCGGCTACCTCAGACATGTCTGGGGAATAAATCTCCATCGGCTCACCTCCAGAAGGCCTGGCCTGTCTCACAGTGTATTACCATGCAGAGCTCCCCCCAACCAAATGATACAGCATCTTGGAGGGGGAAATCGATAAGGCATACAAGTCCAAGGCCATTATCAAAAGTAACAGAGCTCAAGAGGAAGCAAGGAAAATAAAAGAAAAAGAAAGAGCTTGTAGCGACTACGAAATAGAAGTGTACCAAAATATCTTTAGCTGTTGTTTCTGGGACACTTTTCCAGTTCTTTCAAATGCATCTCCAAATCATCCGGGTTGGTCAAGAAATCAGGGGAAGAAAATAGGAAGCGAGTCGGTGCCTGGCTTGTTAAGTAAACCAGTATCCCAAACTGAAAGGCATGTTTCTCACCTCAAGCGTCTGAAGCTGGTATCTGCTTAGAGGAAGAAAACAACTGTCATGCAGGAGAAGTAAAAGCAAAAGCAAGACCAGAGGCGGCGGCGGAGGCAGCAGCGGCGGCGGCAGGAGAGGCAGTAGCGACAGTAGCAACAGCATCCTGTCGTGTTAACGCAGTGGCTGAAAGAGGCTGAATCATTACAGAGCAGCAGGTGCCTGCCCTCTGAGCATCACTGCAAACAGTACCATTGCACCGGGATGCGAGGGCAGCAGGAGCCAAGAGGGACGGTAACTCCCATCCCCGCCCAGCTCCACCCCCACCCCCAACCACTCCTCTTTGTCCTTCTTGCGCTCAGTCACTTTCTTCCTCTGCAGTCTCCCTTCTTCATGGGTTCTTTTTCTTCCTCCCTCCTCATCCTAAATATATAATCTCACATTCTGCTCTATCTTATCTCTTGTCTTCTCTCTCTCCTCTATCTCTTCTCTTTCTCCTCTCTCTCTCTCTCTCTCTCTCTCTCTCTCTCTCTCTCTCTCTCTCTGTCCCCACTGTACTGCTGGTTGGTCTGTAATGAGTACAGTACACCCAGCAACACAGGACTGCCAGTGACTTCCTATTTTATCCAATTAGACGGAATAAAGGCCATCAGAGCAAAGAGAAGCAGCCAGGGAGCAGTTAAACTTGGTCTCCGTGGCCCCCACCCTTTTCTTTTTATCTCCCCCTACTAAAGCTGGCCCGAGTTTCTGACCCTGAGCTCTACCTTGCTTGCTCTCAGTCTTGCTGGCTCTCTTTCTTTCACCTACTGTGGGGTCAGAAAAAGCCAAGGATCAATGCTAGCAATCTAACAATACTGGGATGAGGGGGGTGGGGGGTAGAGGGTGGAGGTGGGACCTTCTGGGTTAGACCTGAGGCTTGGCAAAGTCTGCTATCTGACTCCTCCCCAGAGAGGTAAGCTTTTCAACAGCAATTTTTTCCTGCCTGCTGATGAGAGATAGCATTCCTTCCCTAGCCAGCCCTCTAATAAGTTTTGTTCACTAACAGGACTCTTATTACCTGATTTTCAACTAGCAGTTAGAACATTGTTTTTTAACCATGGACAGCTCTGCCTTCACCCCTTTCTGTGTGGTTTAAGACTTTGCAATGATCAGTGCAAAATGCTGACTGCATGCAGGAGCAGGGTGGGGTGGGGGTGGGGGGTGGGGGAAGGAAAAAAGCCTGTGTGTCTCTGTCTTTTACATTTGCAATTCCCTTATCCCATCAAGAGAGGAAGAGAATAATGTCAATGTAAGAGAAACACTGTCCTATAAGAAAAGCAAGGGCCACTGCTTCATTTTCAAATTAGCCATTCATGTTGTCTCCACACTGCAGAGGAGGCTTGAATTCCCTGGACACTGTAATACACACCACATGTCCTCGGCAATAATCGAACTGCAAGTATTAAGACTTTTGTATAAGAGCATGCCTTGTGCTTTTCTTCTGGCACAGTCATTGAAAGACTGGACAAAATGGAAGACATTTCCTGTCCATCTGAGAGAACATGGGCTCCAGGGGACATTCTGTGGTGTGTCAGTGCACCTGATTTTTTAACCATACTTCTCAGAGCCTAGACATCCAAATGGTTTCCAAGGAACCATTCTATTTACCTATGTCAATATGAGTCTTTAAAACCCTCTAAATCTGTACAACAGGACCATTAACAAGCAGTACCATGGCAGTGAAAGGTAATGCTCAAGTCTTAAGAAAATCTTCACTAAACACTTTATTCTGTACAGCACAATTCTACTGCTTTGAAATACATTTGAGACTTTTCAAATGCCAGGAGGTAAGAATCTTATCATTTCCTTCCAGATGAAATTACTCAATAATTATGAATGATTCAAAGGATATCTTTAGTATCTTAAACTGTGTTTTCAGTCCTATTGCTAACAACAAGAGCCTGACCGAATTTGCATAATTGTAGCCAAGATTATGACAAGCTCACAGGCAAAATGAGTCATCTTCAGTTCACCTCTACACAACCAGTGACCAATATTTTGAAATTGTTTATATGATTGTTTTCTGGTTTCATCCACTTGGTTTTAAGGAAATGAGCTTTCTTAACAAAGATCCTAGTGATGGATACTAAATTATATAGTGTAATAAATCCTTACTAAAGCACATACAAGTTAAGATTTTAATTACCAATATTCGTGTAAGTATTCAAGTACAGATAGTGAACTGATCTCCTCAATTATAATAATTCCTTCAAGGGTTACCCTGAAGTTAAACGTGATATTGCTTTCCAACTTCACAGCCACATACTGAACTGGGGCTTATCCATACCCAAGGTCATGTAAATTTCAAAGACTGAATGGAATCAGGTAGCTTGAAGGTGTTGAAGGAACATAGACAACATAACCCACAGCTCTCTAAAGGTGTCTGTCACTGGCACCAATGACAATTACTTGCCTTACCACAGTCACAGAAAAGGTTATTGGCTCATACTCTCTGACTGTCATATGAACCTTAATCACAGCAAAGGTGGCAAAGAATCTCTAGTTGTCCTATTAAAAACTTGTCACTTACAAAGAAAGGGTAGTGTTACCCATAGGCTAGGACAAAACACCAGAGACAGACTCCTAGGACTGTCACAACTTCCCTTTGGGTCCGATTGCTCAACTCATACTTTAGGATGTATGTTACCTCTGTGCATGTACATTCTGTGAACTTTGTGGCAGGTTCCTTGCTCCCAAGAGTAGCTTTCAGAATTTCAGCTTCCTATAAAAGTTCTGTTTTGTTTTTCTATTAAATTAGAAAGTGAATGGAATTAAGAAAAGAAGAATAGAAGTGAAGAATAAAAAGAATTCCTCATTACTTCTCCCCTGGGGACCAGGAGCTACCTTTATTCCTCCATCAAATCCTTGGGAGCAATGAAAGTGTGAGGAAGCCAGTGAACACCTGGCTAGGACTGGAGCTTTCTTAGGCTGCAACATGTGTTTACAGAGAGAGCTCCAAGGACATCCATTCTTAACCATGTAAAGGCCACCTTAATGAAACCTAGGAACACCCATTCCCAGGCTCTTAAAAACATGAAATGAGACAAAACCTTGCTGCTTTTTAAAACCCTGTAATTACCACCTCCTTCATAACAATAAAAACTATGTTTATTGAGCTCCACCTGTGTGCCAGGAACTCTCAAGATCATAATATACATTATGTCTGAGGTTTTCTCGCCCTTTAATGTCCATTACCTTGAAAATAAAGAGACAGGTAACTCAGGTAAAGTAGCCAGGCACTAACTATTAAATGATAGGGCTGGGACTTGAGAAGGCTATTTGTAGTTTAGAAAAAAAAATACTCCATTAAAAATAAACATAATATTTATTATGTATTTTCTGTATATCAGTTCATTGGGAGAAGGGACCTAGAATATACAACCATGAAATAAATATACTTTAAAGTAAGAAAACTTAAAGGTACCCAGTTTCTGAAATAATAGTCTTTTTAAGTTTTTCCAAATGACTTTCAAAAACTAATTATAAGGACTAGACATAGTAATTCAAAGATTATCTATTTATAGTTTAAATGGAACGAGTTCTTCCGCAGCCTTAGTTGCAGGACTCTTCTGGGGAAGATATTTCAATTATGTACTGCTGTGAAACCAACTGTCTTGAAATAGCTATACAGCTACCACCACGAGGCTGCAGGTTGACTGGGTTCAGCTGGCTGATTCTTCTGCTCTGTTTGACACCAACTGGGGCTGCAGTCAGCTCAAGGCACAATGAGGCTGAAGCATTCAAGGTGGCTCACACATGACACCAGACATCAGCTGGGAGCACCATAGGGTGTCAAAATACATAGCAGCATGGGACATCTCCACGTGGCTTGAGTTGCTCATAGCATGGTAGCTGTTGATGAGAGCTGTCTGTCCCCAGAGACAGGAAGCTCAAGCTACTACTCTTGTAATGGGAGTTGCACAAGCTATGATCATTATTTTTAGTTGTTAAGTAGTCATGGTGCCAGCCCAGACTTGGAGCGGTAGTAATAAACATTAATGAAGAGGGATAAAAAAATCTGCTGCCACCACTCACCCACCACTTCAAGGAAGGAAGGCAGTGCTAGCAACTAAGCCAGGTTAAAGAGGAGTCACGGAATGCAGAATGGATTTGACAGAACCAAGTCAAACGTGCATGCATTTCAGACCTGCTTTTCAAAGACTAGTTTCCTTCTAAGCATCAACGAAGAGAATCTCCCACTACATTATCAATGAAAATGCTTAGGACTAGAAAAGTAGCTCTGTGGGAACATGCATGCCTACCCTGCTTTTGATGTCAGTACCCCAGTTCAATTGCCACAACTAAAACCAAACCAAGACCAACAATTAAAAGAATAATAAAAAAATCAAACATTAAATACCGCTGTGAATTCAGTATAGGTTAAGCTATTTATTTCTGCATTAATTTCATTTATTTTATTATCAGAAGTAAGTAGACTAGCTTCACCAGATAAAAGGGATTGACATGTTTTTGACCATATAACACAAATTTATTTGTCCATTTGAAAAAGCTTACCTTTTCTTCTAAATTTCATGGTTTTAAAAAAGAAAGTTTACTTCATGTTATATAATATGGTGACAACAGAAATATCATTTTGAGATAATTATATGTATAAGTGGCAAATCATATATGTGTTAATGGAATGTGAATTCACTAGGTTAAAAGAAAAGGTTTGGGGCCCAAATGAACCTTTACAAACTGGCTGCTTTATCAGAACACAAATGCTCAAAAGTATTTGTCAGACTAAAACATGCTCAGTCTACATGGAGCTTCCTCCTACTTTGCCAAATCATGAGATTTTATTATTTATTTATTTAGCTAGTTAGTTCATTTTCCTTTTGTAACATTCTCTTTGTGTAACCCAGGATCACCTAGAATTTATCATA